GCCAAGGAGTGAGCCGGTGTGTACCTGGACGTCCATCCCCGGACACAAAGAACCACCAATGCACCGATGTCTGAGGGCGTCTGCCACTGGCAGGGGGAGTGGTGGGGGAAGATAGGCCTCTATACCTTGGAGGGCTTGAGATGTCCCTCAGCTTCTGTATGTTATTGTAGGATCTATCCCCCTACAATATAAAACTCCTTGAGGTAACACTTGTTCTGATTTGGCTCTATATAAATAAAAGCAAACTGAATTTAAAGTTGAGTTTCTTTTTCTCGTGTATGATACCAAGTGTACTGCGTATCACACTATTTTAGAGTTCTTCACTAAAACAAAAAGAAATCAGCTAAATACCCACGTTAATTTATTTGTTCACATTTCAGATTTCTTTTCATTTCATTTTCTGGCTTATTTCTTGTCTCTTTAACACTCAAAATCAGTGACAAGAGTTAAGAAAGAATATGTAGCTAATATCCTTCAACTGTGAAAACTAAACCATTTCATTGTGGGCTCCTCCTGTGCAACAAAACTACTTCCAAGAGAGCTTCAAGCCATAAAGAGCCAGAGCTAATATTAATTTCAAAGACACAACCCCTGGAAGAGCTACATCTGACAGGGACTTTTTTTTAGTTTCCTGGGGATGTTGTGGTATTTTTAAAATCAGATTTAAAAGCCCACAAAGAACCATAAAAAATTAGCATTGGTAACAACTGAACTAAACTTAATCATATACAGTGGCTTGCAAAAGTATTCGGCCCCCTTGAACTTTTCCACATTTTGTCACATTACAGCCACAAACATGAATCAATTTTATTGGAATTCCACGTGAAAGACCAATACAAAGCTGTGTACACATGAGAAGTGGAACGAAAATCATACATGATTCCAAACATTTTTTACAAATAAATAACTGAAAAGTGAGGTGTTTGTAATTATTCAGCCCCCTTTGGTCTGAGTGCAGTCAGTTGCCCATAGACAGCTGCTCTGTGACAGCCTCAGAGGTTGTCTAAGAGAATATTGGGAGCAACAACACCATGAAGTCCAAAGAACACACCAGACAGGTCAGGGATAAAATTATTGAGAAATTTAAAGCAGGCTTAGGCTACAAAAAGATTTCCTAAGCCTTGAACATCCCATGGAGCACTTTTCAAGCAATCATTCAGAAATGGAAGGAGTATGGCACAACTGTAAGCCTACCAAGACAAGGCCGTCCACCTAAACTCACAGGACGAACAAGGAGAGCACTGATCAAAAATGCAGCTAAGAGGCCCATGGTGACTCTGGACGAGCTGCAGAGATCTACAGCTCAGATGGGGGAATCTGTCCATAGGACAACTATTAGTCATGCACTGCACAAAGTTGGCCTTTATGGAAGAGGGGCAAGAAGAAAGCCGTTGTTAACAGAAAACCATAAGAAGTCCTGTTTGCAGTTTGCCACAAGCCATGTGGGGGACACAGCAAACATGTGGAAGAAGATGCTCTGGTCAGATGAGACCAAAATGGAACGTTTTGGCCACAATGCAAAACGTTATGTGTAGTGGAAAACTAACATTGCACATCACTCTGAACACACCATCCCCACTGTCAAATATGGTGGTGGCAGCATCATGCTCTGGGGGTGCGTCTCTTCAGCAGGGACAGGGAAGCTGGTCAGAGTTGATGGGAAGATGGATGGAGCCAAATACAGGGCAATCTTGGAAGAAAACCTCTTGGAGTCTGCAACAGACTTGAGACTGGGGCGGAGGTTCACCCAGTCAAAGTCCAGATCTAAATCCAATCGAGAATCTGTGGCAAGATCTGAAAACTGCTGTTCACAAACGCTGTCCATCTAATCTGACTGAGCTAGAGCTGTTTTGCAAAGACGAATGGGCAAGGATTTCAGTCTCTAGATGTGCAAAGCTGGTAGAGACATACCCTAAAAGACTGGCAGCTGTAATTAGGGATGGGTACCGGTGTCCGGTGCCATGATGGCACCGGTTCTGACATAAACGGTAGTAACCAGACCGAAAAGCAGCGCACATTTCGGTGCTTTATTTCGGTGCTTTTTTTTCCTGAGCTGTGATACACTTTAGATTCTAGCCAATCATTTTACATTTCCGAGGATAGTAGGCGGGGCCAGGTACGTACGTTCTGTTAGAGCAGAGCTACAGATTAAAAATGTCCAAGGCGAAGCGGTCAAAAGTCTGGCTGTACTTCATAGCAAAATATGCAAACTCAGCAGCCTGCAACAAGTGCTTTAAGCTGATACTGTGATACTGTCAAAGGAGGTAACACCTCAAATCCGATGAAACACCTGGCGACGCATAGCGTTTTTTTTAAAAGCCCAGAAATGCGCCGTATTTGATAGCTTGCTGCGAGACCTCGCACCGAGCGCATCTACTGCGGGCGGGTTGCCTGTTATGCAACATCCCCCAAAAATACGAAGAGGAGAGTCCTGGCCCCTAGCCCTGCCAGTGTAGCAGAAATGATGACGGATGATGGTGGCAGCAGCCGTTCTTCTCTGCGTGAGTATCTAATTTACGTTGAGTAGGCTAACCACGTTATTACATTAATGCATGTAAGGTGAACTAGCAAACATCATCATAGCTACATGCGGCTGTCTTCTTGTTTGATGGCAGATACTCCCTTCACCCTGGCTAAAAAGGCTAAAATGACCAAAGAAAAAGTGGAAAACAGTTAAACATGAGATGTTTAGGACAAAGTTTGTGTTTTTTCCATTGTTTAAGCACTGCTTCCAGCCAAGAGTGATACCATATATGCCCCATAGCTGCAGAAAAGGCTAACATTGTTATATTTTTACAAAAAACAGCTGAACATGAGAGGTTTTTGGACCAATTTTGTGTTCTCCATTCTTTAAGCACCGGTTTGAGCACCGTTTGAGCACCGGCACCGTTTCAAAAGTACCGATTTGGCACCGGTATCGGATAAAACCTAAACGATACCCATCCCTAGCTGTAATTGCAGCAAAAGGTGGTTCCACAAAGTAAAGACTCAGGGGGCTGAATAATTACGCACACCTCACTTTTCAGTTATTTATTTGTAAAAAATGTTTGGAATCATGTATGATTTTCGTTCCACTTCTCACGTGTACACCACTTTGTATTGGTCTTTCACGTGGAATTCCAATAAAACTGATTCATGTTTGTGGCTGTAATGTGACAAAATATAGAAAAGTTTAAGGGGGCCGAATAGTTTTGCAAGCCACTGTATATGTTAATAGGTTAGGTACTGACTTTGTATTAGGGTGGTCTCTCCAGGTGGGGAGGTGATAGTCACAGGAGGAATCTGGATGGAGGTTTGCCTAGTTCGTCTGACATTCTTCTGGTTATCTGAGTCTTCTATATGGTCAGGAGGCCAGCTAGTGCCCCCAGAGCCTTGCTGGGGGGTGATAGCCAAGGACTCACCCTCTGAATCGCCAAACCTGTGCCAAAAGAAGAGATATAATCTTAGTTCCTCTACTGTGTACTGTGTAATGTTGTGACTTCTGCAGGAATTGTTCCTTGTTCTGGTTGAGACTCAAGGAAACTCTGGTTCACACATTATGCCTATAACTAGGCATAATGTGTCCATGTAATTCACCTTTATTACTGAGAAAAGGGGGTGTCTGCCTTTTTATTATTTTTTCCCACAATAGAATAGAACACCTCTTTATTGAATTATTTTAAATTATGTGTGCTCCATGCCAACTGTGCCAATACAATATAAATAGTAAGACAGCAGGAATTAATAATAAACAGGAGAAATATATAAAATTAAAGGGAATATATACAAACTAGTAGAATATATTTCAAACAAGAGAGACGTACATTGGAAAACAAAGTGCTTGGAAGTAGTGCAAAGAACTTGGTCTAACTAGAGTCTGTGTGTGGGTGGCTCGAGTGATGAGGGTTACTCAAACCATGGCTCATATTGGTGAGGTGAGTTGTCAGGGGCAGAGTGAGATGAGTGGTCAGGGGCAGAGTGTGAGTGGATAGTGTTTGTTATCAGGCCGAATTGCCCAGGGAAGAAGCAGGTTGTGAGTCTGGAGGTGTGGGACCTGTGCCGACCAGAGGGCAGCGGGTTAAACAAATGGTCCTGTTTTTTTTTGTTTTTGATACAAGAAGATCCGGTGATGGCCTCCAGGGGTAGCAGAGGGTAGCCAATTTTTGGAGCAGAGTTAATTACCCTCATTTTCATTGTAGATATGAAATATTATAAATTTATCGTTGAACACTTATAGGTAACCTCCTTGGGCTCAAATTCCAAGCTCCAGCCTTTTTATAGTGTCACTGTCAGTGTCACTGTGTAGTTGAAATCAAATAGTGAACAGAACAACAGTATTACCATATATAACCATAGTTTTTACCTCTGACTATGGGTCTTCTCTCTGTCATTAGATTCTGTGGAGTGTCCCCTGGATCCGTGAATGCGATGCCTTCTTCTCTCTCCACTGGCACCACTGCCTCCTCTGGAATTCCTATCTCCATTCCTGTTAGACAAATGTCCATCTTTGTGGCGAGATCTTCGCTCTCCCCTCCCTCCACTACTCACTGTCCCGTTGCCACCTCGGGACTGCCGGTGTGAATGATGATGGTGGTGATCTCTCTCACCTACGTTCCCCCAACCTCCACTGTCATCCACTGAACACTGATGGCGGTGCTTCCTGCCTCCCTCCCGGCTGTGGGACCTCTCACTCTTCCCCCGTTTGTCCCGGCTGCTGTCATGGTTTTTGGAGCGGCTGTGATGGATGTGATGTCTCCCATTATCATTAGTTTCCTGTTTTCGTTCTCTGTCTCGGTGGTAGTGCTGATGGCGGGGCTGGTGAGGCACAGGGGGAGGTGGGTCCGAGGCAGTGTCAGCCTCCTCTAACAAGCAAGTCTTCTTGTGGTGGTGCTGGCTGCTGCCACTGTGGGGCTCAACAACCAACGGCCGGTCAAGGTGAGTCTTCATGTCTGGCCGCATGTGTAGGGCTGACGCTATGTGCAGTCGCTCTTCTGAAGTTAGCTCACTGTACAGCGCCTCACAGCTTGCGTGGTTCTGTTTTCTCAGTTGGCTGGCCCTTTGTTCCCACACCGACATCGTCTTCACTGACCTCTGCTGCTCCTTACTAGAGAATGGAAAAAGAAGACAAATTATAACCACTGTAACATTAATTTTACAACCTAAAATAGTGTATATATTCTGAATCATCAACATCAACTTTTAAACCAATGCAATAGTCACAATAATCTGTAAGTTCAGCAAATGATAAAACCAATTCCACTGGACAGGTAGAGTATCCATTGTGACAAATTCAGTATGTATGCATTTTATAATTCATAGCACATAAAATTAGCTGTATACGCTATTCAGTGTTGGGAAGGTTACTTTTAAAATGTATTACACTACAGATTACAGAATACATGCACCAAAATGTATTTTATAACATATTCCGTTACATTACTCAATGAGAGTAAAGTATTCTGAATACTTTGGATTGCTTAATATATTGTCATGCTTTTTTACAACTACATGAATGTACTATTGCTGTGTGATTTTTTACTATTACTGAAGGTTACTTGCCATACCAATACTAACTAGATTTTTAAATGTTAATATAAAACTATTCTGCGCGTATATAAAACAGGTCCGCGGTTCTGAACCGTAGTAAAGGGACTTCTGGCTAATACGTCAGGTTCATGTCGGGCTCGTAGCCGAAAACTAGCTTTACTTTGTTGTCTGGGTCAACTTTGCTAGCGAGAGATAGAGAGAGGCGCTGAAAAGCTGGAACTTATTGTTTTGAAAGAAAATACGAACACAGTGTACAGTTGAGTCTTAATTGCTTACTTAAAACTGGGCTTGTCAGGCACTCTTTTTTGGCTGCAGCAGTTTTTATTATATTTACATGCTTCCATCTCCCGTTTCTGTTCGGTGACAACTTGTACTTTCGACTCTCCTTTTTCTCCCTCCCTCGCTCACAGACACATAACGGGTATGACAGTCCATTCTCCCTGCAGCACGGACTACACTGCCCATGACGCTACACATTCTTTAGGGCTATGCCTCAAACACTCTGCCTATCGCCTTCGTATTGAATAATTTTTTGAATAATAATTTTTACAAATATTTCTTCATGTCATTTATGCGGGCCACAAGTAGAGGTGACATGATTGAGACACACAGTCTCTTAATGAGTGTTTTGCTTGGGTCCAAAAATAGAGAGGCCTAAAATATGAAACAGGAAAAAAATGCCCTGTAATCTATTTATTTCAACAAAGTAACTGTCGTGGGTTTAGGAGTAAATCTTCGGATGAAAGGAAAGCTTATCTTAAAGAGAACAATATTTGCTTTAAGTGCTGCGCTTCATTCACTCATCCAGCGAAAGACTGCCACAAAAATGTTCAGTGCAGAGAGTGCAAGAGTGAGAACCACCTTACTGCGCTACACCCAGGGCCTGCCCCCTGGATATCAGAGACTCCTGTAACCACAAGAGAGCAAGGCGGGGAGCAAGGAGAAGAAGCACCTCAAGCTGTCACAGCAAAATGCACAGACATTTGTGGGACTACCGTCAGAGCAAAGTCGTGCTCCAAAATCTGTCTTGTCAGAGTTTATCAAGCTGGCCAGAGGGAGAAAGCTGTTAAGGCGTACATTGTTCTCGACAAGCAGAGCAATAAGTCCTTGGCAAGAACAGAGTTTTTTGAGCTCTTTGGAGTTACAGAGGGCACGGCAGCATACACCTTGAAGACCTGCTCAGGAGTTATTGAAACAACAGGGCGCCGAGCCAACAATTTCATCATGGAGTCATTAGATGGTAAGACTACTCCCCACCTTAATCGAATGTGACAGGCTCCCTGATGATAAGTCTGAAATCCCCACACCTGAGATCGTCAGACATTATCCACATTTCAAGCGGGTTGTGGATAAAATCCCGGCTATAGATCCATCAGCAAGCATCCTGATCTTGCTCGGTCGAGATGTACCACAGGCACACAAGAGTGATACAATGGACCCCACGATGCCCCCTACGCCCAGCATCTCGACTTGGAATAGGTGATTGTGGGAGAGGTTTGTCTCGGAAAAGCCCACAAACAAGAGTTTGTAAACGTCTATCGGTGCAACGTGCTGAGTAACGGTCGTACATCTCTCTTCGACCCTTGCACTAACAGTCTACTTATCAAAGAGAAGCTTGACACTCCAGAGCAGCATCGTCAGTTTCCAGGAGCTAACGCATCCGAAATCCTATTTGATGGGAAAGACAGCCTTGGTAAAGGGGTCTTCCAGCAAACGCCACACGACAACAAGCCTGCTATGTCTGTGGAAGACAAAGTCTTTCTGGAAATAATGGACAACGAGGTCTTCATGGACGACTCGAATAGTTGGGTGGCACCACTACCCTTCAGGTAACCAAGGCGCAAACTCCCTAACAACCGAGCCCAAGCAGTCAAGAGTCTTTTGACATTACGGCACATGCTGGAGAAGAAGCCAGACATGAAAGAAGATCTTTGAGGCAGGTCATGCTGAACCAGTACCACCACCCACTGGTGAACAAGAGTGCTGGTATTTGCCAATCTTCGGAGTTTATCATCCGTGCAAACCAGGTCAAGTACGGGCAGTGCTCGACTCCAGCACTAAGCATGATGGTGTCTCACTGAATGACATCCTGCTGAGTGGCCCTGACTTGAATAATTCACTTTTAGGAGTCCTCATCCGCTTCCGCAAGGAACCTGTAGCAGTGGCAGCAGACATAGAACAGATGTTCTATTGCTTCAAAGTCTGCCATGATTACAGAGACTTCTTACATTTCCTCTGGTTCGAGGACAATGACCCCACCAAGCGCATCACGGAGTATAGGATGACCGTGCACGTATTCGGCAACAGCCCCTCTCCCGCTGTTGGCATATACAGCTTGAGAAGAGCAGCTCTGCAAGGACAGGAAGACCACAGTGCAGAGGCAAAACAGTTTGTTCTAAATAACTTCTACGTGGACAGTGGTCTTGCTTCCTTCCCCACCAATGACAACGCCATCCGAGACCTGAAGGAAACCAAGGAGATGTTGGCTGATTCCAACATACGGCTATATAAGATAGCCTCCAACCACGACGTAGTAGTGGAGGCGTTTCCACCTGAGGAACGTGCTAAAGAGCTGAAAGACCTAGAGCTAGGTGTGGATCCGTTACCCATGCAGAGAAGCTTAGGTCTCAACTGGCACCTTCAAACCGACAGCTTTATCTTTCTTGTCTCCCAGGAGGAGAAGCCGTTTACCTGTAGAGGTATTTCTTCCACAGTTAACAACATATTCGACCCGTTGGGGTTTGCAGCTCCTATTATAGTCCAGGGCAAGGCTATAGTCAGAGAGCTATGCACTGAGCATTGCGATTGGGACATCCCAATACCTGCTGAAAAAGTGGCACAGTGGATGTCTTGGAGAGACTCACTGAAGGCACTCGAGCAAGAGGAAGTCTGGGAAAACAAAAAATGTCCAACTTACCTACTGATTGGTTGACCCAATCTCCTCCTTTCACCCAAGTTGGTTTGAGAAAAAATGATAGGGATGACTTGCCGCATTTTGGATAGTATGTTGCTCAAGATGCATTCCCCTAGTCTTTCACACAAAGTGCTCACCACGCTGATGGCAGAGGTCGCAGCCATCATGAATGCCCGGCCAATAGTCCCTTTGTCTTCCAATCCAGACATCCCAACCATACTCACCCCTGCTATGCTTTTAACACAAAAGGTGGACTCTGTGTCTGCTCCTTTGGAAGACATTGACCTCAAGGATCTCTACCAAAGTCAGTGGAAGCAAGTTCAAAGCCTTGTGGATTCCTTCTGGAAAAGATGGCGTCAAGAGTACCTGATGACACTCCAGCCGAGAAGGAAATGGCAAGCAGAACAAGCCAGCCTGCAAGTTGGAGATGTTGTGCTCCTAAAGGAAAAAGAGGTTAAACGAAATCAATGGCCCACAGGACTTGCGGTAAATACCTTTCCGGGTCAAGACAGCAGGGTCTGGAAAGTGGAGGGTAGAGTTGTTCAAGGAAGCACCCCCAGGGTGTATTCGAGACCCACCACTGAAGTTGTGTTGTTACTAAGAGGGACATAGTGGTATAGTACTCTATACCAGGCAGGGAGTGTGCTGCCCCTTTAAGGCAGGCATGATAATTTGGGTGTGTGTTTTTTGTACCAGCCGACTTGCCAGGGAAAAACAGTCCTTTAGCCAAACTGTTGTCTGTTCCACTGTTCGTTTGCTTTTTCTTGCTGAGCCTGAGAGAGCACATGCCTGTAAGTAGTTGCTATCTATTTTGTAAGCTTTCCAGCGTTAGTTTTGTGTAGCAGTTTAGAGTTTTGTGTGAGAAACTTTCTTTTGTGAGGAAAAATGGCCGTGATGCTAACACGCTAGCCCGTCTATGGGATTTCCTGTGTAATGTTAGCATTAAACTAATAGCTAAATGCGTGGGCCTAATAAACAGTGAAGTCTAGATATGCTCGTAACACATGTTATATACATTGTAATTCATGGCTTGATGTTTGATGTTGTAAAGAAAATGCAATTACAGCAGAAATGTAATATATTATTTTTGTTTCCGTACCAGTTTTACAGTGCTTCTACAGTAAACATCTAAAACCTATCTGCTGACTCCTGGATGTTTATTGTGGACCTGTTAGCTATCTGCCAAGCTAGAAACCAGCTTCACACCCTAGTGAGGGCAGAATAGTAACTATATTCTGAATATCACCATTTAAAACAGTAACTGTAACGGCATACAGTTACTCATATTTTGTATTTTAAATACGTAATGCCGGTACATGTATTCCGTTACTCCCCAACACTGACTCTAGTTTACATCATGGCAGACAGAGTACCTACATGCAAAATAATTTACTGTATGACGAAGGTGCAATGGAGCTTTCAACAACAAGCTAAATTTATCACAGTATACTGACAGCTCATTCATGAATATGCCTCAACTGGCCAAGCATGGCTACATTACCATGCTTTGACATCCTATGATTTTTTTGTCAATTTGTGTTTAATACGCGGCTTTGAAATGGCTGGAAGCATACACTGTTCAAAGTGTATGACCTACACTGAACCATTTAGATTTTAATAATGGGAAATTATATATTTCAGTGTCATTAATGTCAGGAAGCCAATCTGATCACAACACAGTTAAGGACAAACTTTATCCCAGGTTTTTAAAATGCCATCATCCTGCAAGTGTATTCCTTGTGCTCAACACATTGCACTACACTCCTGTTAAGAGGTGGATGGAAAACATGGAACTGGACTTGTTGGATGAACAGAAAGCCTGCAACATAGTATGTATGATGAGAATGCAGGGCAGCTGTTTTACTTAAGCATTCTTGCTTTCAGAATGTCAATGATGACACTATGATCATGTATGCATGTAACTGGCACTGTCATCCACCTTGTTCACAGACAACTGGGTTTTTACCTCAGGTAGTGATGGACTGGGGTGCAGACATAACTCCTACAAACACATAAAGGGAGCAACATTGAAATACACAGAGGGAGAGAAGGAATTTCAAATGGACAGAAAAGGCAAAAGCACAGAGAAGGCAAATTAGCTTTAGGGAAACTCATAGGAGGAGGAACATGAAGATCAAAGACACTAAATTGTACAAGGAGAATGTTTTCCTGAAAGTGAGCAAGCGAACAAGTGAGCAATTTAGGTGTTCAGAGAGTGCACAAAAAAACTTGGAAGAATTAGAAGTCATCAACATTTGGGCCATATATACTTACAATACATAGCTTTTTGTTAGACCATAATGCTATAGTATAGATAATATAATGCTTAGAAATCTATCCTCTGGTCCTATAACTGTGTTGAGTACTGTGAAATAATATTTTATTGTGTTAAAATTGCTACTCCCCAAAATTGCTACTCCCCTTTGTCTAGAGCAGGGGTAGGCAACCTTTCTGATGGCGTTTTCACCCTAGTGAGGGCAGAATAAAATGTAAAATTTCCTCAGAGGTCAGTGTGCCATATGATTGCATTAGCAATAAATTTAATAACACTCTATATTAACAGTTACACACTATATAGAACCACTTTATAGAATTATATTTGTTCGCAGATGTTTGCAGCTATCAGCAAATAGTTATCAGCTATTTTGAAACAAAAAAAACACTTTTTATCCATAACAATACTATACAATACAATTTTATTTATATAGCACATTTAAAAACCCGAAGGCACACCAAAGTGCTTCACAGTAATATGTAGAGTCAACATAAGTCAATAAAAGGGTACAAATTGGGCACTAGCACAGACAGGATAGAGGCACTAACAGACCAGGAGAATTAGATAAATACAAAATCTGCTAAGAAGACAAAAACAGCAGTAAAATTAATAAAAAATAATAAATTTAATAAAAGATTTAAAAGTTTAAAATTTAAAGGATTTAAAAGGGTATTAACTGGTCAGGAAAGCAAAGTCAAATAAATATGCTTTTAATCTTGATTTAAAGGATTGGATAGAGTCCAAGGCTCGAATAGAAGCAGGGAGGCTATTCCAAAGGTTGGGTGCAGCTGAAGCAAAGGCACGATTGCCTCTGGTCTTCAGTCTGAACTTAGGTTGGGCCAGGAGTAATTGACCTGATGATCTTAATGCACGACAAGGAGTGTACAAATTGAGGAGGTCAGTGAGATAGCTGGGCGCAATGTTATTCAGGATTTTAAAGTGAGTAGCAAGATTTTAAACTCAATGCAATATTTGATTGGTAACCAGTGTAGATCAACAAGAGCCAGAGTAATAGGGTCAAATTTTCTAGTTCCAGTAAGAAGGCGAGCCGCAGCATTCTGAACAAGTTGCAGCCTTCGAAGAGAGAAGGCTTGGAGACCACAGTAGAATTACAATAATCTCACCCGGAGGTCACAAAAGCGTGGATAAGTTTTTCCAGGTCCCTGTGTGGTATATAATGCTTAGCTTTAGAAATCTGGCGCAGTTGAAAAAAAAAACAGATTTAACTACAGATGATACTTGCTTATCGAGCTTAAAGGAGCTATCCAAATAGACACCCAGGTTACGCATAGAATCAGAGAGAGAGAGAGTTAGCTAGGGCCCCCAGCAGGGCAACAAGCTGGTCTCGAGGAATATGGTGGTCGAACACCATAACTTCAGTTTTTCTCTCATTTAAAATGAGAGAATTTTCTGACAGCCAATCTTTAACCTCTCTCAGGCAATCGTACAGGAGTTCAGTGATGCTGATAAATCATCAGCCAGTTGACAATAGATTTGAATGTCATCAGCGTAAAAGTGATAAGAAATATTGTATTTTTCAAATATGGAGCCCAAGGGTAGCATATACAAAGAGAATAATAAAGGGCCCAATACAGACCCCCTGGGGCACACCACAGCAGAGAGGGGCAACAGAGGAAGAGTATCCTCCCATCACAACAGAGAAGGATCTATCTGTGAGGTAAGAATTAAACCAGTTAAGGGCAGAACCCTTGATGCCTACAACATGCTCTAGCCTCCTCAAGAGTATATTATGATCAACCATGCCAAAGGCTAAAGACAGATCCAATGAAACTTAAACGGCAAGGTGACCAGAGTCAGCAAATACAAGAAGATCATTATAGACTCTTAGCAGTGCCGTTTCAGTGGTGTGGCTTAAAGCCAGACTGGTATTTGTCAGTGATATTATTTGCAACTAAGTAAGCCTGTATTTGGAGAAAGAAGGCTTTCTCTAAAATTTTTTGATAAAAACGGAAGCTTCGAGATTGGCCTATAATTGTCAGGGTCTTTCTGATAGAAATTACTTTTTTTAAGAATGGGGTGCACTGCCGCATGTTTAAAGGCACTCGGGACACAGCCCACAAACAATGATAAATTCATTAAGAATAAGATGCAAGGCCCAATTTCCTCAAAACCTTCCTTGATAATTCGGGATGGAAGGATATCGTGCACAGAATTTGAGTTTCTCAGTTGTTCAATTATTCCCTTAAGAGTGAGGAGTGATAACAGCTCAAAGTGAGAAAAGGTGGACATGCATCCTAAAGCACAAGAGAGTGAGAGTGTGAAGCCTTCAGTAATAAAACTTTTCCACTAAAATGATTAAGAAATTGCTCACAGAGAGCCTGAGGTTACGTCCACACGTACCCGGGTATTTTTGAAAACGCAGATTTTTCTATGCGTTTGCACCTTTCGTCCACACGTAAACAGCGTTTTTGGTCACTGAAAACTGAGATTTTTAAAAACTCCGTCCAGAGTGGATATTTTTGAAAACTCCATTTTTGCATTTACGTGTGGACGAGAAAAACGGAGAAAACGGAGAAAACGCAGCGTCAAAGGTGTGTGCATTTTTTGACGTAACACTGTGCGCCACGTTATTGTTTCGGTGAAATAAATTTCTACAATACTGTTACTTGTACTCTCTGCAGTGTTTAAATGCTTACATATACACACACAGTTACTGTCCCTCCACACATACGACTCGGTTCTGCTTCTATGTCCAGCTTTGTTTACTTTTTCCCACCGAGGCTTCTAGACTTCTGATTGACCAACATTTCTGCACGGTTAGGAATATATCGCCACCTGTTGCTTTGGTATGTTCCTAGCAGCATTTTCCTTCATTTCTGCCTTTCCGTGTGGACGGGATTATTTTTTAAAACGAAAATGGAAAATCTCCGTTTTCAAAAATACCCGTGTACGTGTGGACGTAGCCTGAGCGTTCTTGTCCATTTGCTGTTATGTAACTCCATAACAGCAAATGGACTGTGCAACAGAAAACGCAAATGCTATTTATGGTCTCCTCACAAGAATGATAAGAGAAATAAACTAAGCCAATATGGCATGTCTGTTAATACAGAGACACACATGTTAATATGATCTCTGGTCTCCCACTCAGAGACACAGGTCTCCAAGTGTCCAGCATTCAGACGGCTACCTGAGGACACTCATGTGAGAGAAAATCTGCTCACACAGATATGTAGAGTCAAATACTGTCAAGGCCTCTGCAATGTTCTGAAGACAGTTAAACTTCAGGTAGTGATGTCCAGCAGGTGAAAATGCAAGCTCCATGAACACGCACAGCTGTGGATTCCAGCTGCTTCAATGTTGCATTAACTGGCGTTAACTCAGCCAGTTAATGCGAGACAAATCTAGCTGCTCATTAAAGATTTCTGGTTTGATCAGAAAATAAAACATTGGTCCATACACCTGAAAGTCCCAAAAATGCATTGTGTCTCGAGTCTACGGATGTATCCGTGTATTTCCATGGTGCTGATGCTGGCTAAGTTATTTTTAGCCAATTACAAGTTGAATCTGGTACTTGGGGTTGTTAGTTAAGATACCGTCATTAAGAAGAGGCACAACTAATGTGTCTATGCGAGCTGATTTGCGATGTGCACCGCTGGCGCGGCCATTTATTTTTTGATGCACCTTCTCAGATTAATTCACTGCGTGTCGTGCCCAGGGCTGAACTGGGACAAAAAAACAGCCCGGGCATTTTGACTACAGACCGGCCCACCAGGTATTAAAGCCATAAAGCCTTTGAGTGAAAACAAACGCGATTGTGACAGTGATGTACAGTCTTGTTGGTATATGTATGATTTCTATACATTTTACACCAGCTAAAAACTTTGGTTGTAAGATTCAGATAATTATTTAATAACAGCCAGACATTTTAAATGAAAATAAGAAAGTATTTCTCTGTGCCCCCCTTTCCCTGTTAATGCCCCACCTGGCCCCCTGGCAAAACTTTGCTAGACCCGCCCCTGCACAGTTACCAGCTGTCAGCTATTTAGAAAATGACATTGGTGTTTTTTGTCTCTCAGAAACAGTTCATAACTTCCCTTCAACTCATTCATGTCACCTAAAAGGTAAACCTGTTTCTCCATCACCTGTTCAGCTCTGATGATTCAGTAAGGACATCTCCTGGTTTCATCTTCTTGTTTCCCTCTCACCAGATAACCAAACCGATATCATGACCAGCTGTGGCTCCAGCAAACCTCAGCTGATACTAGAAATGAATATTAAATAAATTCTAACAACAGCTGATCAAGCTTAAACGTGCTGCTGTTATTTAGTGCGACATCCGGCGGTTTTCTCTTTTCGGCGCAAAGTGGGCGATAAACAAACAAGAGAGAAAAGCCGATCAGCTGGTCATTGATCAGTTTCATGATTGACTAGCAACAGGAGGGGGGGGGAGAATGAGAGAAGAAGAGGCAGCTGTGCAGCAAAGACAAAGAATAACTCCACCTTTGTGTCTTTTTTCATTCTAGCTGAAGTCCGGGACAAACTGCATCCCCTCTCAGCTCAACACGAAACGCGTAATAATTTCTCTGAATGCGGGACGATTCAGTCTTTTTACGGGACGGTTGGCAGCTCTACTAACTAACCTTATGAATTAAATAAAGTTCAACATCAGTAACATCATAGCACCCACCCAGCTGTATAGAAACTCCGTCATGCTAGCTAGTACGCAGTACGAGTTATTGCAACTGACTGTAAAAAGTCAGCACAAT